ATTTTCTCTGGTCCCAAATTAGAGCCTGTGTTAATGTATATAAAATAGACCAAAACCGGATATAAGAGAAACCCGGATATAAGAGACTTCTCCGGTCCGACAACTCTCTTATATCCGGGTTACACTATATATATATATATATATATATATATATATATATATATATATATACAGACATGACAGAATTGAATAGACACCAAGATAAATTTTATTTCTGATTTTCTTTAATAACCAAGATAAATTAACTTAGATTTTTTTAATAATCAAGATAAATTAACTTAGATTATTTGATTAAAATTGCAGATAACAATACTGGAACATGCCACGAACGAAAGGAGCATCAGGCCTATCCGAATTTCAGCGAGGGCGTATCGTGGGCCAACATGAAGGTGGTCTTAGTCAAAGAAAAATATCTGAAAATCTTTCAAAACCCCATTCTACTGTTAATAGAGTGATGGTACAATTCCTCAGAGAGGGCAAGAAGTGCACAAAACCTCATCCAGGCCGCCCTGGGCCCTCTGAAAGAACCATGCGTCTTGTCGAAAGAAATGTTGAATAGGATCTACGTTGCAAGACCTCTGACATAGCAACACAATTTGATGTCAGTCCCAGAACAGCTGTCAGGTATCTTCACATGGCAGAGCTGCAAGAAGGAAACGACTTCTCCGTCCAGCCAATATCAAACGCAGAAAGGATTGGGCTCATGAGATGGTGGAGAAACCTGTGACCTTTTGGACCACTGTCATTTTCCCTGATGAATCAAGATTCGCAATATTTTCCGAGTGGAAGAGTATGGGTATGGAGACTCTGTAGTCAACAGTTTGATTTAAAAAGACTGCAGCCAACGGTGAAACATGGGGGCCTTTCAGTAATGGTATGGGTTGCAATTTGGAGTGATGGTCGCTCAGAGCTTGTGGAGTGTGAAGGAAATATTAATTCAACCAAATATGTTTCTATATTAAAGAAAGTGCTCCTTCCAATATTCTCAAGTCGTAGAATGAGCAAAATTGTCATACTGCTCAAGCAACGCAACATTGGTTGAGACAAAATGGGATCAATAATCTTCCATGGCCAAGTCAGTCCCCGGGTATTAACCCTATTGAACGCCTTTGGGGCATATTAGATCGAAAACTCTGCAAAAAGAACAGGGAGCCATCTTCTAAGCCCGAACTTTTAGGATTATTGCGTCAAACATGGCAAGAAATCCCTCAAGATGATATTCGTGAACTCATCGCTAGCATACCTAGAAGGGTCCTTGCATTAAAAAAGCAAAAGGGATGTCAACCAAGTATTAGTTATTAAATTTATGACCATTTATAATTACTTCATTTGCATAAATTACTTGTTTAATGAAATAAATGGTTTCTGTGAGCGTCTATTCAATTCTGTCATGTCTGTATATATATATATATATATATATATATATATATATATATATATATATATATATATATACAGTACGGGGAAACATAATCGTTCACATACAGATTTTTAAATTTTTGTATTTCCGACTGAGGAATAAACATACTTTCCATAAAAATTAATTCTACAAAATATTAAATGAAGATTATGAATTCTTTTTTGTATTGTACGAATACTTTTTTCACCCATCAAATATGTGGTGCAGTTCAATTTATATTACAATTAATCATTCATACAAAAAGTAAATTAGTAATCATATAAATTAGTTAATCATATAAATTAGTTAATCATATAAAATGGCGAAATCCCTTCGCTAACAAATTCGTTTTAAGATTCATTAACCAACCAATCGCTCGATGAATGTTATGATCCTTGTTTTTAAAAATTATAAGCTGTATTAGGTCTTTCTTAAATACGCAAGTCATTTCGACTCTACATTCAGTCATCTTAAGGCATGGATATTATTTTGTTTTTGGTAAAAATCAGGTAGCATCCGAGATGAACAAAATATAATACGAATCAAATATATATATATATATATATATATATATATATATATATGAATAAATATAGTCGTAAGATGTGCTATATTTATGGGATAAAGTGCTCGATATCAGAGATAGATCGTTTTTTGTAAATATAAAAGTGAACATAGAAGTCAACAAATAGATGCGACAGTCTGTTTCATGCTGGATGCAATCGTCAGGTCACGACGATTGCATCTAGCATGAAACAGACTGTCGCCTCTAAGTGTTGACTTCTATGTTCATATATATATATATATATATATATATATACATACATATATATATATATTGGGACAGATATTACATAATATTTCATCACCTTTGTATTTATAAAATAATCTTCCTGTTGCTTCATATTTGCTTTAGCTTTTGAGAGAAAACTTTTTTCCAATCTAATGCGCCTTCAGATTTCGATGAATGTAAGGGGAAAAATACTGAAAACATTAATTCTGTTTTTCAACATAATAGATTCTTTATTCATACACTCACCTGATAAATTCTGGATAGCACATAAGTATCGCATGGGCCATATTTGCAGGCATTATCGACTAAAGATCACAACTTTGCTTCAGCCACCGAAAAATCGAACTGTTACTCTGCTCACATCTCTCAGCGACTGTCACTCTCGTTCTTCATCTCAACGGTCGGCTCCTGGTTGACTATTCTAGAATTAAGTATATATTTTATTAGGGCAGGATATTATTTCCTTAACTTCCCATCAACTGTGACTTAATAAAAAAGTTTATGTTTTTATTTATTGGTATAATTCATTTACTTTTCCTTGGCTCTGGTCAGCTAGGTTTTACTTTAAAACTTTCTCATCTGAATTTTACTGCAGGTTGTCATTAAACTGTCAGGGCTTCAGTCCAGATAAACCCATTTATATTTCAATTGAATATAATGTTGGGTTAGGACAATTAAGCTGGCCACATTCAAGGTATCACTTTAAAAACTGCTGCGGAGGTAACAACCAAAAATAAAGAAGCTCTTTAAGAATACTATACCCCTCCTGTCAATATCTGTCTATTTGTATGGCATAGTGGATTAGATTTAGTGACAGGACCTAAACAGTGTGAATTCAATACCCGGTTAAGGCAGTAGAGACCTAGGAGAGGGGAATTAACAGGTGATAACTGATAACTGACATCCATTAAACATGACACATGGAACTAGAACAGTCTACCCTAGTGAGCGAAATAAAGGGTTCAGTTCGACATTCCAACCACCTGAAGAAAGCCGGAGCGTACAACGGCCGAAACGTTGTGATAAATATGGCGACAAAGATGAGGACATTAGTCCGAATAATGTAAATAATATTTTTTTTTAAATATTCTACTTGAATCTAAGGTTAGCGGAATCGTTATCGGCGCGGAAAATGGAATCTGGGAACTGTGTTCTAATCCCGACCGAAGGTGGTTTAGTCATTTTCGCACTAATTAAAAGTTAAGTATAATAAGTGATAGGCCCTTGGGCGATCATTACTCTTTCGATGAATGTCTGACAAGACAGTAGATTTTCTCGCAGTAGTTTACTGGTTATTTCTGTAGTAGATCGGTTGCAAACCAAGACTAGATGACCGAGTTTGTTTTACTATTCAACCCATAGCTAGTGGAGAAAAAATGATTAATACTGTTCCAAAATTTGGCTCTCCAATTTCCGATATCCATTACACTATAAAGCACATCTCTTGTATATGAAAATTAAAAGCCCTAATTCGAATTCCAGTCGGATTCGTTACACTCAATTACGTATGTTTCCTAAAACACAAAACAAACGGTGTGTACATAAAAACATTATCAAATCAACACACGAAGAATAAAGAAATAAAAAAAAAACTCACACATAATGTCTACTAGTCATATACACACACACTTAAGAATATATATATGGCGACAAAAATGAGGACAATAGTCCAGATAATGCAAATAGTGCCCTTCTGTCAAATGGAAGTAAATAAAAGCTGAGCCCGTTAAAAATAGTGGGTGGGTGGGAATTACCAATGTGTAATTTTTGATATGTCAGGAAAGTTGTTTACGCAGCAGATCGCTACGCTTGTTATTAATATGGGAAATGTTCAGATCTGCCAAATATTTTTCATAGTGAGTCTGATCGATAAGGTCAAATTAGTGGCTGATCTAAAAAGTGACCTACACTCTGTTTTATAAATGGTTCTCTGCGTCATGCTAGACAATTTTTCTCATCCGAATCTATCTTACATAATTACACGAACGAAATTTAGATTCGTTCATGCTTAGATTTTTGCTGCCAGATATTGTATGTTTCCCCAGGAAAATAGGTGGAAACTATTGATAAGATCAAAAGAAGAATCTGCAACGTTATTGTTCCTGAGCTGGCATCCCGGCTTAAATCTGTTACACACCACCGTGAATTAGCTTCCCTGTGTCTTTTTTTATAAATTGTTTCATGGTAATTGTTCTGGCAAACTCTGCTCTGTTATTCCTAAACTCTATGAATTTAACGGCAGTGCTGGATTGGCGGTAAGATTTAATCATTATAGAGTTGTCACCGTCAGTTCTGTTCTAAGATTTCCTTTCCTCGTAATTCTCAACTGTGGAACTCTCTTCTGGATTCTTGCTTTCCAGTCAAGTTTGAATTTAAAATATTCAAAGCAATGTGAATCGTTATCATTTGTCTCCTTATTTTCTCTTGTTCTATTATTCACTCGCTTTAACAGTGATTTTTCTCATATTCTTCTAACTCGGTAACCTCCTTGTGTATAGTGGCTTTGTTACCTGGCTGGGTGTGGAATGATATAAAAACAAGCTTCAGAACTTTACAGATAGAAAGGACATGCGACCCTCATTTTATTTGTGTTTAAAAGATAAGATAAAAATTCCTCTCAGATTTTTATAACGATATCCCACGGTATAGAACAAATAAAAGCTTCCTTGAACACTATAATCATAGCATCTTCAAAGCAGTGATCGATTTTTCATCCTTTTGATAACATTCAATTTTTAAAACCTTCATTTGCATTCATAACTGTCACATCATTTAGTATGAGTATTTTAATAGAAATCGTTTAAGCTTACTGCCATATCATCTTGAAACACCAGTAGTCGTACGATCACTGAAGTTAAGCAACGTCAAGCCTGATCAGTACCTCAATGTCTGACCGCTTGGAAATAGTAGGTGCAGTAAGCTTGGCTGTGCGGATGGTGTAATGAATAATGGCTTAAAATTGTTAATCCGTGAGCCGAGTTTCAATTCCCGCTGTGTTCGTTATATTCACTTACACGCAAATTCTCTTGGGAACAATATGGATTCGCCTCTTCTCCTCACAGCTATGAGTTAATTAGTAAACCCTGTATCACGAAACCATTATTGTCTAATATATCCACAATCTAAAAATGTTTTCTAGTTTTAAATAAACTGCAATGGGTTGACAAGCTATAGAAAAAGAATGCCAAGCAAAAGTTCGTTATCACTTCCTTAAATGCGCGTTATATTCGAGATTTGTGTAGACGCCGGTACTAGTAGTAACACCTTCCAATAATATCCGCATTAGTAATACTTGTTCAAGTAGTAATCGTCAAATAGTATAATGATCAGAAGACAAACGTAAACCATATAGTAGTAGAGAGATTGAACGTATAGCAATAGTGGATAGACGAGAAAAGTGAAACGTCATCGTATCGTTATCACGCTACTTCCTATTTATTCACTTCCTTTCTGATCACGTGATCTACTTAATAATAGAATCACCCCTGTTACTCCATGGCGATCTTAGTTTCACACCACAGTCTCAGCAACGACACTTACGCTTATACAACACTTCTACTGATCACGCCAGATTTTGTGCTTTCATCCTAAAACTATAACAATGAAAAGCTCAGTAAGGTTGCTGTATACGCCACAGGTTAGCTGTGTGTATTTTGACGAAATATATATATATGACAGAGCAGATGGCTGTAACCATGATTACTTAGTCACCCTAGCAAACGGACATACTCGGAAGCGAGTATCAAGCGACTGCATGCAATGTGAGTATTAAGCGACTATATGCAAATTATTCTTACACTGATATATATTATATTTCATTGTTACTAACGCAAAATGAAACGTTTATTTCGAACTATGGCTTTGTTTTCGTTGACCAGCTTTCTTTATTAACATGATCAATACTTTAGAGTTTAACGACAGGATACATAATTTCTGAAATCAATAAAATTTATTCTGTTGCTCGGGTGGATTTTATTTTGAATGAAATTCAGAGGGTAGCTAATTAACCATTATTTTAAAAGCATATAGCGTTCGTTCAGTGAAAAGTAAGGAAGTGAATAAACCAGGGGATTGGCAGAAAATGTTGAAATTAGAGAAAATAAAAGAACTGTGAATATTAATGGAAGAGAAGGAAAAATGTAATAAGTGGCAAGGAAAGTATAGAGTAAAAATTGATAAAACAGAGTGAAGAGTAAGAAATAAGTATGCTAACAAAGTTGAGGGAGAGACAATGGAAAAGGAAAAGAAAGAAACTAGAACGAAGAAGGAGTGTTTAATATATATATATATATATATATATATATATATATATATATATATATATATATATATATATAAGGAATAGAAAACTAATTAAGTTAAATATCAACTAGTCAGTGCATTCGGACAAGGGGGGATAAGTAGAAGATTAGATGAGCATAGCTAAAAAGAAACAGAGAAAGAAACTAGAAAGAAAGAGAAAATAAAATTAAAACGGACGAGAAGGAAACATTTAGTAGGAAAATATATCGTGGAAATGTCGGCAGTAAAAACAAGAAGCCAGCAAAAAAATGTATTCACCATGCAGGAAAAAAAAACAAAAAAAAAAACCCCGAAAAAACTGAGATCTGATTGGCGGAAAATATTTTAAAAAATGAAGACACATGTTAATTAAACGTTACACACACTCACACACGCTCACGCATAAATATGTAATTATATATTAACACGGAGGTATATCGCATATGCACACAAGGAAACACACACACATATGAACATAAGTGGTTATATTAAAATGCATATTTCTGCATGTATTACACGTAGTATAATTTAAATACATACTTTATATATATATATATATATATATATATATATATATAAATACATTATATATATATATATATATATATATTCATAGATTATATTTGACATATAAGATTTTGTGTCTTTATTTTGGGGTGTTTCTTTTTCGAGGCGTTTATAGAGGAGATGTTGTTTACTAAGCTGTGCTGATGGCCTCACCGTGTACCATGCTACAAGCCAAACTTAATTAAAGTTACCCGATACAGAGACGATTTTGAAAGAGATATGTTTCACTCTTCTCCTGCAAAGCGAGGTCGCACATTCGATTCTTGACAAGGGCAAAACTTTCCCTTTAATAAGATTTCTTGAATATTTAGGCCGGTGAAGGAAAATATGAAAAAAAAATACTGTTTTAAAAATAAACGGAGAGACTACTCTAATATGAGTATACACTGAATATAATGTTTAAAATTGAAAAATCAGCGTGATTAATATATTGATTTTCCAAGCGTAGCTTAGATGTGGCACAAGTCTGAAAGCAAGGGCACCAAGGAAGGATCAGGATTAATATATGAAAGAAATGCATTGCTTTTTTTTTTTAGAAATTGCTTCGTTTATGTTCGGATGGCAAACTGAGCCGTTATAATCTTTCGAGAATCTAGGAATGAATGTGCTTATTATATGGCCTTGACTAATCAGCAACGCTCTACATAGTTTCAAGTCTGGGATACGTTTTATTTGTCGACAGTTTGTCCAGCAAAGCGGGCCGCAGTTTCGAATCATCTCCGAGGGAGCATCCTTTATTTAATAAGGTTTCTCGAATCGATAGACCAAAAATATATATATAGAGAGAGTTTATAATTAAAATCAGCGTCTACTCAAATATAGGTATCCACTAAAAATAGCGTTTAAATATGATAATATAATTATTTATATATATATATATATATATATATATATATATATATATATATATATATATATTTATATATATATATTTAGATAGATAGATAGATAGATAGATAGATAGATAGATAGATAAAGTGAACATAGAGAGTCAACATTTAGAGGCGACAGTCTGTTTCATGCTAGATGCAATCGTCAAGGGCTGACGATTGCATCTTTTATATTTACAACGTTCTATCTCTGATATTTTTATCCCATAAATATATCCCATCTTAAACTATATATATATATATATATATATATATATATATATATATATATATATATATATATATATATATATATATATATATATATATATATATATATATATATATATATATATATATATATATATATATATATATATATATATATATATATATATATATATATATATATATATATATATATATATATATATAGGCTACTTCGCCAGACAACGAAAGTGGTCGTGTGTCTTTTCAGCCCCGGCGTGCAATGAAGTTCCCCCTTCTAAGTTTAGACGAAGCAGGAAGTAGCAATCAACTGTGAGGAATTGATAGTGTTTTTTTATGTTGAGATATGAAATTATATATATGATTTCTGTACAGCTATATCTTACCTTAATGTTGTTTCTGTTGAAAATCTTTTTTAGTTGTTGGAGAATGACTAAAGTCATTGACAATTCACGCAAATCCGTACAATATTGGTTATCACCCAACTCTACTAACAAATAAGTATTAGACAATTGTAAAACCTGATATGAAACAGCGACCATAATGTGAATTTGAAGTATGTAGTTAGAAATAACAACAACGATAAAAATAAGTTAAAACAACGAAAACGTAACAGTATATGGTTCAACCCGCCATGCCACTGTAAAGTCAGATCCAATGTAGGTAGAACTTTGCTGAATTTAATTAACAGACACATTGTACATGAAAATCGAATCGTACTATCGACGATGGATATTATATATATTCACTGATATATAATTGTAGCTCTGTCTCATAACATTGTGCACTGAATTTATAATACCCGCGGAAGAAATATATTTCTACGTACGTGTATGTATATTTTAATCCTACACATATATATATCCTTTGTGTAAGATCAATGCTAAATAACAGTGCTGTAGCAGGGATCAATGCTAAATAACAGTGCTATTAAGTATTATTAAGAAAAATACATAATACCCCACACCGATATTATGACTTGGATTTTTGTGCCTAATGCAATCGTCAGGTACTGATCGTCGTTTACAATTTGGGTAATATTTTAAGGTCTCGCGAGATTATTGTTTTGTTTGAAAGAATTATTACTGCTGTTAAATATTTGATTTCTAATATAATTCTGAATTTAAATTTAGGCTCAAACTTACAATTAAATTCTAAAATAAAAAAGAATTAGAAATTTTAATATTCGTTTAAAAAATATTTACGGACACTGTTTGAAAATCAAGTGGGGGAACTCTTTTTTTTTGCTTAGAAATAATGATAAAATTAATAAAAACTTTTTCAGTGATAAAATGATAATAAAATAATAATAATAATAATAGTATAACAGTAATACTGAAAATTTGCATAATAGTAATGATAAAAAAGAATAATAATTATAGTAACAATAAAATGGTAGGTCATGGTGATAATAATATTGATAATATAAAATATATATGTATATTAATAATAATAATAATAATAATAATAATAATAATAATAATAGCAACACTAAAGCAAGTATCTATGGCGTCTGAAACTGAGAAATGTATATGAATCTGAGTCAACGTGCTTGAGTATGAATATATTTCAATGTATGCAAGTGCACATTCACTTCTTTTGATTAACAAATTCGGTTTGCATATATTTTTTAGGATCATTAACTTGACAGAAAGATATAATTTACATTTATCACCTTTACCGCTGAAAGCTTTACTTTCGTTACTTAATCCCAGGTGATAGTTGTTACTTTTATTTTCCAGAATTATCACATTTTGCAGGCTATTTCACGACAGTAATATTTTTAGATTCTAAGAATTTTTTTTTTAATTTTAGATAATAATGTTTTTAGTCTTACATGTATAACTAATTTAACCAAAATTATGAGATGAGGTAGATTCCTACCTTTCCCGAGGTTATTTGTACGTAGGTGAATATAACGAACTAGGCTATCCTATTAAAAATTCAGGGCCATTATTCGTTACATCACAAGCCC